ACAATTACATGATACTCAGGGTAAATTTTAAGAGAAAATTCTCTCCGTGTACTGTTGTTAGCACAGATAACACGCATTATTAGACTAATTAACTGCTCTTGTAGTATAGTGCTTGTAGTTGTACGTTACTCAATTCAAATTAATGAAACAAGTGGATAGTTCGTCGGACTAGCCAATTATCTTTAAGATGATATTGCGTTGTTATTTTATTTATTAAAGTGTTTCCTATAAAATAGAATATATGAAAGAAATTATAAGAGAATATAGAATATCGGCAGGAGCAATGAAAACAGTTGAACAAATGCAAAACATTTCTAAAGCATTAATAATTAATAAATCCTTTAACTTAATATCATTGCATTACACTTTATCGCGTCGAACAGTTTTCTTCAATGAATATTACGTTTCCTGGACGTGACCTTTTGTCACTGCAACTCTCCAGGTCGTTCGAATAATTACGAGCCGTAGTGCGTATCAGCGGTAGTGAGAATTGATACGGATCACGGTGCTGAATCTGAAACCGAAACGGACGCACTTATCGATTCGTAACGCGAGCGCGCGGAGATAAAGGAAATCTCGGAATGCAATTTGGAGTTCGTGAAAGCGAGTACAGTCATCATACGCGTATCTGATAATGAGTCAGTGCTGGCAGCCCGGCTACATAATTGCGCAGGTGAGGTCACTCACTGTCATTTTATCTAGGAGGGACAGAGGTATCCGCTCGCGTGCGTTCGCTTTTCCCCGACGACAAAACGACGTCGCAAAAAAAAAGAACGCTCGCCCACAGCGCGATTACGGTTAGAAGCCTTTTCGCGGAATCGGGTCAGGCAGCTGTCGCGTACACCTCGGCCTCGGCACGATCCCGTCCCTCCCGCCGTTTCTTCTTTACGATCAACACAACAAAGACCCCGGCGGTCACGCGTACACGACGAACACCCACGTGAGCGCGAGCGCGCACACCCTCGTAAATGCACCGTTCGCGCCGTACATAATGGGCCCCGCGCGGTCTCCCATTGTCCACTTACGGTTAAAGTCTCTCGTCGTAAGCCGCCCGGGCGGATGAAAGCGCGGAGAAGGAGCGCGGAGCAGCGGGCCCCGTGGGGACGGGGGAGAGAAGTCGCGTATGACGACACGCCGGACCCAATGTCATCGGGCCCGCTATGCTTCCGCGAATTTATGCGATTATTATGCCGGCGGCTGGCCGGTGGACGGCGGGGCCCGCGATACCGCAGAGACTCTAGGCGGGCCCGGACATCGCGACAGCGCCGGGCCCGTTACAAACCGTAGCTATTACGTGATCGGACAGACGCGTGTATTGGGCACTCGTCTCGCCGATTGTTATCGGGATATCCCTCGCGATCGTGACGCAAAAGCGCCGTGTGCACCCGAGTCGAAATTTTGGCCCTACGTTGAACCTTTAATTCTATTATACAGTAGGACCTAAGACAGTAAAAGAGGTCGGATCGCAAGTACAAAATTTACTCCTACTTTGAAATCGATAGTGTCGGAAATTTCTGCTTTTGCCAAAATTCCGACTCGGGTGAACGTACGGAATTTCTTGCGTTTTTTCTTCTCCCATTAGAAACGATTGACGTTGATACGCGAATAAAGGGCCGCGCGAAATAAGGCGTTGATAAATCGGCACAACGACACCGAGAGGACTAGATCTAACCGCCTGGAGCGGCGTGAAGCTGTACAGGCGGCTTTCTCATTATCGACCAGTGTCTAACGGGGAATTCCCCGAAAGGCGCTAAATGAGGTGTCAATTCGCTGGCGCTTGACCCTGCCCGGGGGTTTAAAGGCCGCGGCAACACGCTTGCGTAACTGGCAACGCGGACGGAGCACGAAATCGAGATAAGTATCGCGACACATGCGCTCGTAGGCATCGGCACGAAGAACTTGCTCACCTGCCGCTGCCGCGCGACAGCGGCGTGACGGCGCTCTGTCCTCACGCGATCTCGAGAAATCTGCGGTTTTCATTCGGTGCAGTATCACGGCGAGATAATGCGGACCGTCTTAGCCGCCGGACATTACCTTGACAAGTTGAGCCTGACCGCAGCTGCATCGTAACACCGTGGTACGGTGTTACGGATGCAGCTACACCCGAGTCGTCGTTTCGGATTCTCCGCACTTTATTTCATCTCCAAAATTGCTCTCGCGCGCGTTCTTTAAGTTATTAACGCGAAATGCAGTTTTGTAATTCTTGCAAATAAGTCTATGTCTGTTCAACTTTTATTTTACTTGGCGTTTTTTAATTATACAACGAGGGGTAAACCGCAGACCGAAATCATGTGCAACAACGTCTACTAATGCCGCAGAGAAAATCCGGCATTTTAGAATATTTTGTCTTGTGTTATCTTATTTTATCTTTTTAGATTGTTTATAATCCCCTAGCAGGGCCAAATAACACCCACTAATGCCCAAAAGACGCCCAGTAATGCCGCAAATCTGTGCCTAGTTATCGCTTAATTCAATTTTACTAGTAAACGCAGGCATCTGTTTGCCCATGTGGGATTTTTATTTGTCCAGCGTATTTTTCGGAGTAGCGCGAGAATATTTTTCCTGCTGGAAGTGCGCGACTCTCAGGTTTTACGAGCGCATTCGCCTCGCGTTTCATTGACGCGCGGAATCCGGGCGGAAGTGAGTCGCCGCGCAAATCCGCGATTTCCACACGTCGGTTTCGCAGGGAGTAACGGCAGATAAGAGTGAAAGTAAATCAGGCGACTTTTTGCTCGCGCGATGTGCTAACCGGTCGATTCATTTCTTTTCTGCCGCGTGCTCCTCGCGCGGCGAGATAGTCCGCGGCACGAGTGGGATACCACTCGCTCGCGATAGTTGTAAATCATCGCGGAGAGGTCACGGAATGCAATAGAAACGCTGGAAACTGTGCGCGCAACCGGCGGCGATACCGATACGTTTCTTTGCGTTTCGTCCGATCGGATAATTTATGACGTTCGACTTACACAGTGTTTACACCGCCTGAGATAACCGGTCTCTGTTTTGACGTGTTAAACACCGCCGTCTGTTGTCTCAAGTGTCATCCCTCGTGCATACCGATTCCTCCGAATTGTGTGTGTGCGTGTGCGCGCGCGCGTGTGCGCACGCTCGTGCTAACAATGAGACGTGATTGATCGGGTCCCTCATTATCGCTCGGTTTTTACGGAAAATTACGTAAAAGCGCTCGAAGCGA